GGGGCCTTCCCAGACACATAAATGCTACCCAAGAACCTGTCTCTGGTCACATCATTGTGCCACTAGACAGTGCTGTCTGGCTCTTCTCATCCCTTCTAAAGATTTTCTTTTATGGCATACTGAAGTAAAGTTACCCACATGAATGGACTGTCTCCTCTGGGACTTTCCCAAGGCATTCCAGAGAACTGGGACCAAACTGGAGATCAGCCAGGCCTGCCTGGTATGTGACTTCCAGGCCTACCTGGTCACCATCCAGGGTCTGCTAAGGAACTGTTTCCACCCAGACCTGCACTATCAAACCCTGTACCAGCTCTGCCTGAGCAGGTGGAGGATGATGGAAAAGGTCCCTGCAAGCATAGAATGGGCCCTTTTGCTGGGGAACAGTGATTATTAAGGTATGAAGCAATTTTAGCCACCTCAAAGCACCCTTCTTGGACACAGCTAAACCTGAAAAGAGCCACTGTCAACAGCTGAGCATACACTCCTCTCTCTTCATAGCTTACTTCTGTGGCTTAACACAAACCCCAGGCAAATTCCAGTCTCTGACCCCTGGTACATGATAGGCCTCTCTTGAGAATCCTGTTCTGAGGAAGCTCTGTGCCCCTTGGGCCTGGGCCCATGAAGGGCATACCCTTTGCAAAGCAGAAGGTGACATTTCTCTGATACGCATGTAGGAGCCTTCTGATTTTTATTTTCCAAAATTGCTCCTCACCAGTGCTCTGGGAAAACCCAGAGCTGGTCAACACATAGCAAACCTGCTTGTCAGCAAAGTCCAGTTCTTGTTTGTGGCAAATTGGCCACTCCTGGGGTCAGGGGCCAAGGGCAGGGCCAGCCCATGGTAACTGAACTCTGAGGAGAGTGACATCACTGGTCCATCTCTGACATGTTCCATACATACACACCAGACATTACTAACATGCTCCTGAGTGACAGGTGGCAGACCCCTGCAAGTTGCTGTGCCTCCTTGGGCCAAGCTGGGAAGATAGACAGATGGTGTGATCAAATACTGTTCCTAAACATTGTCCCAAATGACATGATTCTTTGAAGGAATTATTAACCCCAACTCAATTGTCCCTCCAACCTCTCGCTATTTGGTTTTCTTAATTAGACCTAGGACATGCCCAAGTATGATCCCATTCAAATTGACTCTTCTGATAAACCTACTTCTAAGTCAACAGCCACCATCTTCTGCAATTAGAATACTGAACCACCCATACTTTCAGGCACCTGCTAAAATAGCTCTTTGACAGCCAGACTCTAATAACTGAACTAGAAGCTTCAGGAAAGATAACTGTGACTGTGAACTGCTAACACTCATGATCAACAGTTTGCATAGAGATCTGGAGCCAAAATAAACCCCAACTTGCAGATGTTCAAACATGCACCGACAACTCTTTCCCCAGATGGAAAGACACTAGATCTCAGCACTTACAACCTTGTCAGATGTTAATTTCAGCTGGTTGACCCTGAGCTGCAAAAGAGGACACTAATTGTGATACTGACAGAAATGACACTAAAATAAGTATGTCCCATTATTTGCCATCACAGGTTTCAAAGTTGCTAGTTGGGGGGCTGGGAGACAAGAAAACAGTGCCCTGCCCTCTTTGCATAAGATGCATAAGATAAGATGCTGTCCACATGTGATCCTCTCCAAGTCCTTGGTTGTGTCCTACTGCATCTGAAGACAAGGTGACTCCACTGAATAGAGAGAATGAAGCTTGCAGTAATAAGTCAAAGGCAGTTTTTTTTTCCTCTATTTCTCTCTTTCTCTGGGCAATAAAAAGGAAAGGGAAGAGGAACCACCCTGTGGAGTCTTGGTGATTTCTTGTTAAGTACATATATAAGTACAAGTGTGTTGAAAGCACATTCTTAATAAAAGTATTAATAACTCAGGGTCAGGATGGGAGGAGCCATCTGGTGTGGGACAGTAGGGGTGTGACTCTCTGTGTTCCTTATTTCTATTACTAGAGGTTGCTGTGCAGTGGCACTTGGCGACCAGTTTTGACTATGGGATGTGGGCTCATATATTTCCCTGGGTACCATCAGGTACCAGCCATCTTGAGTTACCTGAGGGTGTAGGTACTTGAGCTCATGTCCTGGACATGGGACACGTGACTCCTCTGGAGCCTGAGTTCTTTGAAATAAAAATAAAAGAAACTCAATAAAACATGTTGTGTGTATGTATGCACACACACCTCAATCACCAGAATTTATAGTTGCCTCTGAGGATGAATGACATGAAACATCCCCTGGAGTTGAAATAGGGTTCCTGCTGAGACAGAAACTGGAAGGAACTAGCACTCATAAATTAGCAGGATTCCCTCTTTAGGAAAAAGCATAAATGCCCACATTTAAGGAAGATGCTCTGGAAAATGTGACATTAGTCATAGAATCACTTTGGGTGGTAGGCCTGGAATCCAGGAAAGGCAAGCAGACCTGCCTAGCCAGGGAAGGACAGAGCTAGGGGTGGAGGAAGGACAACACCATGGGTCCCACATGCTTTATTGGCTGTGGTGACAGTGCTCTTCCCAGGGACACAGCCAACTCAGGACAAGGTCCCCAGCCCTGCAGCTCATGCCCTGACCATCCATGCTTACTTCATAGTAACCAAGGACTAAACTGAACTCCTAAAAGTTCTGATGATGAAAGAAGGAAAAATAGCCCAGCCAGGGAATAAAATTAGTCTATTTTCTCTTTCTTAATAAATAAGGAGATTGGAAGGAAATTCGAATTATACACTAATTTTCATGAGTCTGGCTCTGGGAGTGTGCTCTGGGAATCTGGACAAGCTTGAGTACTTACTTTGCAAACTGATTATACCCTGGGATGAGTCTCCTTGGTGGTGGCTAAGATCTGGGACCCAGCCAGTCTTTTATTTTCCCTAAATCTATCCTGGCTCAGGCACACCCTGTCATGCAGTGCAGGGAGACATGGATACAACAGAACCATGGTGTTGACAGCAAGACCTAAAGAGTACAACAGGCCCCAAGCCCTCACTCCCTACATTTGCTTGGTCACCAGCCATACAGCTTGTCCCTCCTGAACCTCCCACCCCTCAAGTCCATTTTCCTGCTTGGCTGTTCTTATCTCCACGATCACGGTGGTAATAGTTGCTTCTGATAGGCCTCTAACTTGAACCTCCACCCCCTATTCTCAATGGGCACCAAAGGGAACCTCACTCAGCGTGTTCAGTGACCATTCATGAGGGTTCCAGCTCAGGAAATCAGGCCTTGGGGAACAAAGCAAGCTGCTTCACTCTCTGGGTTTTGTTAGCTCCAGGGGCTGGTGTAAGAAGTAAAGTAGTTCATGCACACCAGGAACTCAGCAAATCATAATTGGTTGCAACTACAGGTTGAACACTTCTAATTTGAAAATCTGAAATCCAAAATCCAACACTTTTGCAGTGCCGATATTTTCTACAAGTGAAAAATTCCACACCTAATCTTAGTAACAATGGAAGTGCAGCTGCACTGGTTAACATTGTATAAAATTACCTTCAGGCTATGTGAATACCTATGTGTATGTGTTTAAGGTATATATAAAACATACATGAATTTTGAGTTAATACTGGTTCCCATCCCAAAGATATCTCTAGTTCTATACTGTGACTTGTAGACTCCAAACACCAAGCTGTCTCATGCCGCCAGCCTCACCCACATGTGGAGCCTTTGCCCAACTCTTCTCCCTCCCTGCACTCCCCTTGTCCCCATGGCAGCAGGGTCAGCTAGAACGGTCCTTGAATGCTGCTGCTTTAGCCAATTTTCTTATCTTCCAACCCTCTACATCCTTTGGAGAATTGGGAGGGTCTGTGAGTGGTGGCTGGATCCCACAACCCCTGCTGTGATGAAGATCGATTCATCAGGTGAATCATGAATGAATGGGCAGTTGACTTTGCTGAGTTTCCTCTTTTTGTGAACAGTGATTCTGAATTCTGGCTAGAATAGATTTTGTGTTCAAAGAAAATAGAAAACAGCCTAAGGTCCTGGGCCACTACTCATCTCATCTTACAAAGCCAAGCCCCCCCAAGACACATGAAGGTGCCCAACTTGTCTCCAGCTTGTGTCTCCACAAGTACTTGGTCTAGTCATGTATAGAAATGGGGCTCTCACTCCTAATGTCTAAGCAGGGTCCATGCCATCTTAGAACCCAGGAGCTTCCACATAAAGGTTTGGCCCATGACTCCCCAAAGCCCATGGTGGGGTAACTGATGTTTTTAGTGTCAGCTGTTGTGCTGACATTGCTACCGTTGGTCTGGCTCTCCCTTGGCAGGACACTGGAGCTGCTTGGCTGAGCTTCTCTGGTCACAGAAAGCAGCCATCCAACCCCTCCTACCCACTTACTTACTCAAGATGCAGCTGTACAGACAGTTTTAGTGTGAGATATACTTATTGACCCATCTGAACCTGGAGTGGATGAAATAATCCCTCTTCCTGAGTTTACAAAGCTGAGGAGTGACAGTGTGTGACCTGCAGAATGCCACACAATTATTAGGTGGGTGTTAGTGTCAGATGTGGTCCTGTAGTGATAAACAATGATTGGAAGGGACATGAGGCCATGAGAGATGGGTGGCCCTGATGGATTGGACATGTGGCTGTTTCATTGCTGTGTGTCTCCTTCTACACACATGAAAGTCCTTCTGAGATGGCTCAGAACTGGGGCCATTGCTTCTCCATTGTCCCTACATTTTCAAGGGTGGGTTGAGCCCAGAGCTCCTAGTTAACTTCACATGAGAATACACAGAGGTACCTACAAGAAGGCTACGTGTCACCCTCAGTCATATACACACACCTAGAGCATCAGGTCTCTCCTTCATGCCCACTGGGACTGCTGGCAGCAGTCTACACTCCCCTATGGTTGGGCCAGGAGCTTCCAGGCATTGGAAACAGAACTTTTGTCAAGCCTGTGACCTACATTCAGAGCCCACTGTATCAGCTATTGAGTCCACCTGCCTTTCCTTCCAGTCAAATTTATCTTCCTCCATCATATTTACACCAGGAAAATTCAGTAAGTGGACTTAAATTGCTCTTCAAGCTAGTCTGTGTTCCTGCTTTTTAAAAGCAGAATAGGGAATTAGAATAACTGTCTTCAATAATGTATGGCAAAAGTTCATGGAATACCTGGACTATTTATTCTGTGCTAAATGCAATAATTCCAGGGGTGCTAACCATTCAGTCTTCACTCTAATGCAGGCAAAACGTAACTTCAATGTCTGAATTTCTTTCAACCCACAATGAGGACTAATTTTTCTTTTTTGTTTTTCTTAGGCAAGCAGTCTACCATTGAGCTACTTCCCCAGTTCCAGGGATCAGTTTTGTGCCATTGAGACCTTAGTTTGCCCCTCCTAGCACCCACTGTACTACCTTTTGGAGGAGAGCATGGCCAAGAACAGGAGCAGATTAAATGCTGCTTTGTGGTCTTTCACAGACAAATGATGTAACCTTCTCACCTAAGGAATAATGTCCTGCACATGATGTTGGTCAAATTTCCCTTTATTAAAATGTGTAACTTTTGGCAAATTCCACCATGGAGAACACAAACAATGGATAAAACACACGCCAATAGATATTTGCCAAGCTGGGGAATTTAAGAACATGAGAGCAGACTTCACACTGCACAATCCCCAGGTGCTGACTACTAAACAGTGACCAAAACAAAGCAGCAGGGCTCCTGAGATAATTCTACAGGCATAAGTCAGGGTAAAGAAATAGTCACAGTAGTGGAAGTAAAGTAACATATTTTCTCTTGCCAAAGAATCTCCATAGTTCTCAACATATTACAATGTGATTATATATTTATTCAGTTTAAAATGAAAACAAGTTTACAAATCACTACTCAGTTACTTAAAAATAAACTCTAGTTGTTTTTCTTTTTGGCAGCACCAAGCATGAACTTTGCAATATTTCAGAAACTTCGGATATATTATAGTCTTCTGAGAAAGGCCCAGTACTTCAGAATTCCTGGGGTGGCTGTGGAGAAAGAACATTACTGGCAACAAAAATTAAAACATTTCAAAACCTATATGCAGTTGTTCATAAACATGTACACATATTTAAGCATCTATTCTAGTGTGCTAAATTTTTTTTGTTCGTTTTCTTTTTCAGTGCTGGGGATCAAACCCAGGGCTTTGTGCATGCTAGGCAAATGCTCTACCATTGAATTATACCCTCAGTTCTCCTAGTTACTTCTGATAGCATATTTACATTTCTTTTTGGTTTAAGGAAAAAATGTATTTTATAGGTAAACTGTTCTAGGTGACCATGAATGATTCTATAGCCATGTTTTCCTTTCTCAGTCATTGTACCTACGTGGCCTATATACGTGTGTACAGTTGGCAACTTCACTTTTCCTGGTCCCAAAGAGCTCACCTTCTATGTAAGTAGGAATATTGCTCTTCTTATTCTGGGGCTTGTGTGTATGTGTGTGTGTGTGTGTGTAATTCAGAGAAATTCAGTTGCAACACTTTTTTAGGGAGAGTTTGAGTATATATTTTCATTTGTGTGGCTCTGAGTCCTTAAGAAATTGGAGTTACTATAAAAGACTGGACATAGGATTGTGTATAGTGTCCCAGGATGCCTGGTGCCCCAACTGCAAACTCAGGATGCTCGTATGGACCCAAGGTGGGTGTTTACCACTAGAAAGCATGATGGGAGCTTGAAGTATAAACTTTAAATAGCACAATGATATTGATACCTTTTCCTTTGGCTTCAATAGCAATCACGATTGACCATTTTCAACTATGAAGCAGACTTGACTGGAATAACAAAAACAAAACAAAACAAAAAACCCCCACCTTTTCAAAAAAACATTTAATGAGGTAGCTGAGATCTAAGTTCAAACCGCAGCATACACCAAGGAGCTTAATAAATGCTCAGGCATTTTAAAATGCAAACTGCTACAGTGCTTAATGAATGCTCTTTCTTCCCAAATCCTGAAGGTGCATGCAAAGGTTAAGAAGGGGCCCTTGCAAAGTGAGAACAGCAAGAGGCTAGGGATACATGAAGCTGAATAGGAGTAGACAGGATGGGCCCTGTGGTGCATGCAAACTTTGGCCGAAGTTTACCAGGGATCTCAAATGCAGGTGATCTTACACAAAACAGATACCCAGTAGAACTCAGGGACATGATAGGGTGAAAAGAGCTTTGACTTGAGCAGCACAGAGCCTGAAGGAATGTTCAGAACATCTTTTCCTGGGCCCAATACTCATACACCCTTCATGTTCCCTGGAAATACCCACGCTCAGAAGGGCTTGATTGCTACTTTTTCCTGTGCACCACCCCAAGTTCTAGAAGAGGCCACTGCTTTCAATGCTTACCCCCTGAGTTCTCCTCACTCTCTACTTACAGGCATAGGCTGCTATATGGTGAGCAGCTTTTCAGAGACCAAATTCAAACGCTTTCCATGTGGAGTCAAACAAAAAGGGGGCTACACCAAACCTGAAAGCATGGGTTTTATGGCTTCCTGCAATATGAACACTCAGAGTTCACACATGCACAGACACATTCGTGTGCACACTCTCTCACCAGTCATACTTGTAAATTCATGGGCACATACTTTTACTTGTGCACACATGCACACACTCACACTTGATCACATATGCACATACACACACACATACATGCACACAGTGGTGCACAGCAGCCCAGAAGCATCCCAGGTGCAGCAAGCTCAGTTGAGGCCAACATCGGGGTAAAAGTGGTAGAGTGAAAGTGCCTGGTGCAGAGCTGGGTAGGGTTCTGGGGAAGAAGTCCTGAGTGTTTCACCTCCCTTTGCGGTCCTCAGAGCCAGAAGCCAGCACACCAGCACATGGCACCCGTAGGCAGCATTGAACAACAGCAGCAGAAGGAAGGCACCAGATCCTTCTGTGTTAGGTCTCTGTTGTGTAGTTATTGTAGGCCAGAGGAGGTAGGGTGGAAAAGCTGCTCCACCTCCTGGTGCCAGGTTGGGATTCCACATGCCCTTGTTCTTTATATTTACCCAGAATGTTTTTAGCTTCTTCTGCATCCCGCAGAGGGCTCTCACCATATTCTTCTTTAAGCCACTGCCGATACTAGAGAAGTTGGAAACAAATCCAAAATGTCACACACATGTGGATACCTACATTCAAGATGCCTTTCACCTGTTACTTAGTGGTAGCACTATTGCCACATATAAGCAAGGAAATTAGAGGGCACTGGGCGATCAGAGCTCTGTGACTGAGTGGCTGGTCAGTGTCAATCAAAAGAGTGTTCCTTCAAAGCTTTGGCTTGAGGACATAAAAGCAATGCACACCAGTGCATACATACATTTGGTAGACTTGGAGCAGTCTGCTAAGGGCTCCACAACAGATGCAAGAAAAATGTGTTTTTGTGTTGTCTTTGGCAGACAGGATTGAATAGAGGAATCCAGGGTAAAAACATAGAGAGAATTTTTGCGATTTGGAATAATTTTGTAAAGATGATGAACTTGTCTTACTACAAAGAAGAACCTAAAATTTGAGTTTACATGATTAGTGTTGGAAAGTATCCTCTACTCCCTCACCTGGTTGACTGCACCTTTGGAAGCTGAAAGATGGAGGTGAATTCAAAGCAAAAAAGAAAAGAAGAAAGTAAGCAAAACCAAGAAGATAGTACTTCATTAAAAGGGAGGGAAATAAGCAGATATGGAGTACCAGGCATAAGGACAATGACAAAGGGTAAGATCCTGCAGCTGGGGCAGGGGTGCAGGTGGGCATCCTTGGGCCCCATGTCCTCTGTGGCTCTGAAAGTCTAAGGCTAGTACTCAGGCAGTTGCCTGCTTTGGTAACATCTCCCAAGGATTGCTTACCTGATGCACTTCATGCTTCTCAAACTCCTGGAGCTGCCTCTGGAAGCCAAGGTTGGGGTTGGCACAGGACCTCCCTGCACGCACAGTGTGCAGGGCATCCTCCCAGCCGAAGTCAGTGACAGTCATGATGTATGCAACCACCAGCGTCACACTCCTGGAGACCCCAGCCAGACTGTAGAACCAAGAAAGCCCATGTGCAAGGGCAGTTTTGGAACCAGGGATCTGCCACCCAGATCATTTGGAGCAGGGGATTTGGAGGGCCTCTTTTTAGAGAGTTCTGCCTTAGTTATGTGTGGACCACAAGAAACTACATAGAAACATACCAGTTTCCCTCTACTGGGGACATTAGAATCTCAACATCCTTTAGGCATTTTAGCCCCATTTTCCTTGATTTCCTTGATAAGATGTGGCCCAGACACTTATGCTTTGTGACCCTCCATTGGTCCTGAGTCCTCCTAGGGTATTCCATTTCCTCAGGCAATAAAATAACAACTACACAGAGAGAGGGTCATGAGTCTTCCAAGTTCTACGCAACAATTCTATTCATAACCTGCATTAGTTTAGAATGTCTTCATGTTTTTAAAAGCCTTGTTTTCTTAGCTACTGTAATGAGAGCTAAATCCAGATGCCCTTACCAAAATCCCAAAATCTTCGTTTTTTTGGTTTTTTGTCTTTTTTTTTTTGACATAACCAAGCAAAGCAGCAAAGAAGGCACACTGAGTGAGCTCTGAGGCTTCGGGTCAGGATGGTGGTATAGGCAGTAAAGCTTAATTATCTCCATCAGGCTTAGTAAGGAGATCAGTTTTAAATGTATACGTAAATTAAGTTAGCCACAATAAGACTATTCATCCTCAAAGTTGGAGGGTTCTAGCAATGGTTTAAGATGGAAAAGTTTAGCAAATGTCTCATTTTTCAAGAAGCCATATCATACTCTATGAAATATGAATTCTTAGACTATCAGGCTTATACATATTTTAATAATAACGTTATTATTATCAATCAATAAATAACAACCCGACTCTCATTGCCTCCAACTGCACCTCAGGGTGCCTTAAACCAAATGCAATTGAAAGTTAAAAGCCTACCCTTTGCATTTACTACACTTCTTACTTTTTTAAACTTTTTAAAAAAAATATTACTTTCAAAGCCCTACAAATACACAAAACATTGATTACATTTGAAGCCACTGAAATATCTCATGTCCCTTCCTGCCATCTTGGGTAATAGGCCCTCAGAGCTCAGTTCAGCTTTCCTAAGCAATTTCTCTGACTATTGTGCATGGGTGTCCCAACCTGAGCAGCAGCATCACAGGAGCTATTGCATCAGATTTCCCAAGAGTCTGTGCTGCAAGAGTGGCTACTTTGGGGAAGTGAAGAGACTGTTACACTTTTAGTTAATTAATGTTACACCTCATTCAAGATGGAGGGATCTCATTGTATGCACATATGAGTAAAAGAGAAAAGAAAGATGGAGGGATCTGTCCAGTCAACAGAGCCCAGGCTCCAGAAGGCTGAGTACTAATTTTCCAGGCAAATTTGCCAAGTTATTAGTATGACCACTCGTGGTAATAAAACGATGGCACTCACGGAGCACTTACTCTGCTCCAGGCACACGATTTACCAGGTAGAAAACCAAGAACTTTAGATGCATGAGCCTTAGATTGAGTGTTAGTGTAAGTTACTTTTCACAAAGTGTGTGTGTGCATGTGTACAGCTGTCCCCCAGTACCCATGGGTCATTGGTTCTAGGGCTCACTGCAAATACCCAAATTAATGCAGTTCCTTATATAAAATGGCATTATATTTGGTATACTTGTGAGATCCTCCTGTACACTTTAAATCATCTCTAGATTACTTACAGTACCCAATACAGTATAAACCCTGTCAAAAGTTGTTACTTAATTTTAAAGTCTACTTAGAATGTTTCAAAGCAATGTAGTAAGGCAAATGCACAGAAAAGTCCCAATCTGTAAGTGGAAAAGAAATGGTTATTTTGGTGTTAACAGTAATATATTCCTACATACCCACAGCTGCAATCAAAACTCTCCAGAAGGAAAAGAGTATTGAAAAGGGCACTGAAATTTCAGGCATGAGCTACAGAACAGTCCTATCTGTGGGAGGCTGTTCTCACGAAATGTTAGAGGCAGGCTAGCAAGGGACAGTGTTTCTTGTCCTAACCTTGACAGTAACTTCCAGAAATTCTGGTGGTGAGTGAAATGAAAAACACAAAATCAAAAGCAAAACCAATCAGGGTTCACTTTCAATAAAAGCAAACAATGATTAAGACAGAGCAGGGCAGAGGTGGAGTGTGCATTTGCAATTCAGGGTTTAGAGAAAACTATTAGGAGATGAAATAATTAATCACACACAGAAAGACACTGTTGAGCAATCAAGCCAACCAGAACAAGCTAAGGTATTATTCAGCAAGAGACATACGTACCAGTGCACGAGACAGCCCTCACCTTGGAGACGGCACTCATGAATAAATTTAATACTTTCTTTGAAATGTCTTGTCCTAGGCACAGAAAGAAAAGCAAGAAGTGACATCTTCTATGTAGGAAATGATGATAAGAAAAATCCACCTGAGGTTTCTTGAAAGGTCTCAGAGTCCCACCCCTTCGCAACTGAAGTGGCCAGGGCTGCCCCAGCCTTAGTCTCAATCACAGGCATGCTGAGGTCTGCAAAGACCTCTCAGCACCTGAAATTTTCTGTAAATTCCCCTCAAGCCATTCCTAAAACATAAGGTTTCTGCTGATTGAGGGAAATGGTAGTTCCTGGTCAGCTTCCCATGTTCAATCTGATCAACAGCAAAACCAGGGACCCTCACACCAGCTGTGAACCTCGCACAGCCACAGTAACCCCGAAAGGTGTCGATATTATGTGGACTTCTCAAGTCTTCAAAGGTATTTTCCTTCTGACAAGCTGAAAAGCCTTGAGTCATTTGTCTACAGTGACCGCCCTGGACCTTGGCAGGTCTTGTCTACATGCCACTGGAGAGCTGAGGGAAAAGCAAATTTAGGTTAATCCCTATTCTAACCCTCTATGTGGCCTGGGAAGGGCAACTTAGAAAGTAGAGATGACATCTCCGAGGCTAGATGAGGTAACATGCCAATATGCTTTGCTGAGTCCAAAATCCTAAATGACAATGAATGCTATACACCTTCCTTCTTCTGTTGGGCCATCACTTTATCACTTTGTCTGGTCACTTGTTCAGCTATGACAGAGAGAGAGAGAGAATGAAAGAAAGAGAGAGAGAGAGAGAGAGAGAGAGAGAGAGAGAGAGAGAGAGAGAGAAAATACCTGTAAGGCCTTGCTCAAATGCATGGGCTGTACCTTGCTGTGTAGCTTCTCAGAGGTCAAGTTCAATGCCTGGTCACTTGAGATACAAACTTGAACAGGACTCAAACCCTACTTTGATGAGTTCCCAGGCAGCTGTGTGCCCCGTGCCAGAAGGACAGTGTTCTGGACTGGTTTATGAGTTAAGTTCAGGTACTAAGAAGACAGAGTACCTGCTTCTTTCATGTATTCTACCTTCAAATGGCTTCTAAAGCTTGAAAACACTAAACCTACCATATATATACTAAATTCATTTCCCGTTCAAGTGATCAAGTACTGCCCATTTACCAGAGATTCTGATAAACTTTAAGACAATCAGTGATTAATAAGATATAGTTCATGACTGCAAAATGATAGCACAAGTGAAATGAATCAGAGTAGAGGCTTGCACACAGCTTAGGTGGCAGAGGGCTTGCCTAGCATTTTCAAGATCCTGGGTTCAATCCTCAGTAGTGAAAAAACCAAACAAACAATAACAAAAAAGAATGGGAAGCACACATCCATCACAGCAAACTCACCTAGCTTTTGATTGCAAAAGAAACTCCACAGTCTTACTTGGAGGTGCTCAGTGAAATTAGGACAGACAGGAGGTGGAAGAAATTTTAAGTGTGACACATTCATACACACCATACACACTCATGTATTGCTAACAACCAGAAGTGTCACAAGTGAAAAGTCCAAGCAGAATGACCTTAGGGCTTCAGACTCCTACCTGACATCTCTAACTAGCAGAACACTGCAGGATCTACTTCTGATAGCTTTTCCAGATGTAAACATAGAAAATAGCTCAGAGAATTGCAACTCTATCCAAAAACTGGCTTGGTATATAGCAGGCAAGAAAGAATTTTGGCTCTAATCTTGAGATTTGAAGTGTTAATACTGGGGGATCTCAGAATAGATCTCCCAGTAAAATTCAGGGCAACCCACAGGTTGCAGCTTCCATCCACAGTGTGTTAGGGGCAATTACTGTAGAACTCCAGAGCAGGTATCTGTGACAGGGCCACTTGCTCTCTCACCCCATGAACAATGCCCATAGGGAGACTGCTCAGAGCCCCGTTGTGAAGCTTGACTCAGGTACATGATCAGGCATGAGGCCAAGCCAGACAATCATTCCTAGAAATGCCTTTTCCAAGAAAAGCAGGAGGCAGGCGACCTCATCGCTGCTTGGGTTTAGAGTTGTGTGCTATAGAGTATGGAGGGTTATTTCCAGGGAAGCTAATGACATAAGCCTAAGCTCTGGTCACTAAACTCCCTCCTCCACAGTGGGAAATACCCATGGCCCTGGCTTCTTGTATTGCTCAACTCTAATTTGAAGCAGAAGCACCAATTTGAAGCCATCCCACCACAAGCTGTTTCAATGAACACCAGTTCCCTGTTCTTGCTTTGTGTTTGATTGGCAGTTACTCTGAACTTCCATACATGCTCTATCTGCAGAAAGTGAGCTGAGCTCACCTAGAAGGTGATCTATAGGTGTATTACAAACTTGCCTAACAGTGCCTGGGGGTTATCACACCAGCTCCTGCCACTCATCCTGGTAGGACATCGCAGTGCAGTGGCAAGAGATGTTCTCTGTATGGACACAGCAAGTAGTCCAGCTGCCAACTGTTCAACCCCCCACCTCATTAACAGCAGCCCTCCCCACCCCACTCTGCATCAGAGACCAAAGAGCCCATAACCAGATGAGCTTTCTTGACCTGCTGGGACTCCAAGAAAGGACTGTGGATGGCTCTTTTAAGCCACACCACATGATGTTCATGTTTGAAGCCAACAAGTACTTCTTGATCCAAGACAGTGAGATTTGGAGATTGTGATCCCCATGAATGGGATCTGAGACAGTCCTGTCCTGCCCAAAAGGGCTTTGTTTGCTGGAGTCAGAGCCCAGGGATCTGGATGCTTGGCATAGCAGCTAGTTTCACCCCAAAGCCAAGTGGCACCAGACCAGGTGTTGTTGAGAGAAGGATGTGCCTGCTTTCCTTTAACTGTATTGGAGTGTGTGTGTGCTGTGTGTGTGTGTGCGTGTGTGTGTGATACATGTGTGATGTGTGTGGTGCATGAGTTGTGTGTGTGATGTGTGGGTGTGTGCAAGGCATGTGTGTGGTGTGAAGTATGTGCATGTGGTGTAGTGTGCACATGGTGTGTGGGTGGGATGTGTGTAGTGTGTGCATGGTGTGTGGATGGGATGTGTGTTGTATGTGCATGGTGTGTGGTATGTTCTTGGTGTGTGATGTGTGGTGCATGCATGTGATGTGTGTGGTATATGATGTGTAGTGTGTATGTGTGGTATGTGTATGATGGATGTGTGGTGTATGTTTGTGTGGTGTGTATGTGGTATGTGTGTGTTTGTGTGATGTGTTGGTATGTATGTGTGTGTGATGTGTGGTGTGTGTATATCTACATGGGGTGTGTGTGTGGTGTGTAGAGGGGCTTCTTCCTGGGACAGAACTGGACCAGACTCCCAAGCCCTGCCCTACCCACCTTTCAACTGGAACTCTGAAGGTGAAGTCTCCCCATCCCCAGAAGCCAGGGGAGCAATATTCTTCACCATACCAACTACGTGGGGACCAAGTGGGCCACTCTATCAGCACGCAGCATCAAACACAGAGAATTCACTCACGGACTGACTTTTACATCTTATGCATTGTCAACATTAAAAAAAATAACTCTTATAAACCAAATTTTCATTTTGCCAGGAAAGGTCATTTTAAAAGTAAACTTGAAAACCAAAAACACTCAAGAAAACCAAAAACAAGGGAGCAAGTAAGGTAGCTCAAACACTGATGACACCTTCTCCAGAGGGTTCTCATTTTCTCCTTGACTAGGAAGACTATCACTGTGAGCTTCAAAGTCATCAGAAGCTGTTTGGAAGTAGACCACAGTAATCCAAAGGCCTGCCTAGCTCAGATCTTGTGAAACTGCTCTTTAAGAATAAAAGTTAAAAGAAAAGGTAAGTGAGAGAAAAAGCGAAGTTGGGACTTTGTCTCAAAACAATACAACTCAATACAGAGAAAGAAAAAGGGAGTTGAAAGTATAGCTACACTAAAGAAAATGGACAAAGAGACAGGGAGGTAGAATAAGGCAAGGAAGTTTCCTGAAGTTTTAAATAAAAAGCTCTTTGTATTGCTAATGCGTCTTCTCTCCACTAAAACCTCAAGAAACTTACAGACCTGCTCTATTCTCAAACCACAGAAGTCACAAAGACTTACTGTAATGATGCAATGCTACAGGCTCTGTAGCCTAAATCAAGATCCTTTGGATTTCACAGAGAAAAAAAAAAATTACTTACTTAGTAATTACAAAATACCAATTTAATAAATACCAAAGCAAAAATGAGCAAATACAGGTTAGTGTACATCTAACCATTCACTTTCAAAACACATCAGTACTCCTTACTTGAGTAGATAAAAAATATAATCTTAGTTTTGTAAATAATTAGTGTTCATGAAAAACACTTTCACTTATATCATCTCACTTAACACTATATAAATCCTATGAGATAAGCATTTTGTAGGTCAGAAAAGGTTAAAATGCCTTGCTTTAAAAAGCCCAAAGAAGATAAGCGCCCAGTGGCTCACGCCTATAATCCTAGCTACTTGAGAGGCTGAGAATGTAGTTTGAAGCCAATCCAGACAGGTTTGTGAGACCCCTATCTTCAAAATAACCAGAGCAACATGGACTGGAGGTGTGGTTCAAGTGGTAGAGCTCCTGCTTTGCAAACATGAAGTCCTGAGTTCAAACCCCAGTCCAACAAAACAGAACAGAACAAAAAAACCCAGAAAGTAAAAGGAAGTATGTTTTTCCAAAGACCTTAGTTCACTACCTCCCGACACCAGCCACATTGGGCACACAAAATGCATGCCACTGATACCTACTCTAGGGTACCTCTAATTACAACATCATGCAAAACACACCACACTGGGGCTGGGGGGTTATTAGGACACTGAGAGCTTGAACTTTACATTTCCTGACTTGACCAGGGTAGGTGGTTGGGGGAACGGAGCTAAAGTTTTGAGTTAATGTTATCTCAAACCAGGTTTCTACATTTTAATTTCCTGGAAGGGCAGATGAGGAGATTCTTGAGGATTAAGGCCAGGACAGAAAACTAACATTTCTGGGTAGTTTGCAACTGATGGTCAAGTGACAGCAGTCAGTTTCAAAGGTCACAAACCTTTCTAAGCACAATTAGCCAGAATTCCTGTTGGTTCAGGGGTTTGCAGGGAAAGACTTAGAAAATAAAATGTTATATTCCAAGTTGGAAAGCATTTTTAAGTTGGTACCTTTTAAGATGGTAAGTGGTACAGTTTTCCAGAATTTATTTTGTCATCAAATAGAGGAACTCTTAGGTATCAGGAATTCAACAAGGCCAGACTGAAGAGCTACCATTTCTAATTAGGTTACTAAGAGCAAGCTAGGAACATGATTTTTCTGGCTTCTGTTACAAAAGCATTAATGGTTAATGGTTAATGTAGCTCCTAGCTCTGGGGGCATGGCTCAATTAGTAGAGCCTGCCTAGCATGCATGAGGCTCTGAGTTCAAACTTTAGTACTGCCAAAAAAAAGAAAAAAAGAAAAGATTATTTGTCTTCTGACTATTCACATTGCCTGATGATACAGAAAGTGAAGGTTCATTGTCAGCTCCTAATATGTGGTGAGTAATTAATACAGGAAACCCCTAATGAATTTGGTCATGGATAATCAAGCTTTCTGCCTGCCAGTTTTAGGTTAATCATATGATTATATCATGAAGGCATGCTCACTGCTATGGCTTGACTGTGTCTCCCCTAAATTTGTGTGTTGGAACCTTAATTCCTCAATGCAGCAGTACTGGGAAGTACACCTGGTAGGAGGCATTTGGGTCAGGGGAGGAGACCTCATGAATGGATTAAAGCCTTGTTCATAGAAATGGGTTAGTTCTCTCAAATGTTTGGTTTCCTTTTTTTTTTTCTTTTGCCATGCTCACTTGCCCTTTGTCTTTCTGCCATGTTATGAAGCAGCATGAAGCCATCACCAGATGTGGCTGCCCAAGCTCAGACTGTTATAGCAACAGAAATAGACTAAGACATACACCATTAAAAAGTATTCTATGTTTCCAATGGGACACTGGCAACAGGTAAAGTGAAACTTAAGCTATATGCTAAGCTATCTCTTAACAAACCAAAGTATACTCTAAGTTCCAAGTTCAACTTCATAATCTCCATATAACTTCTATATAGCAAGAAATATTTAGAATAATGAACACTTGTGTGTCAAATGCCTTCCTTATAGATAAGCCTGTGGTTACCAATGTATTGAAAATGAAAGTTTCAGCCAAGTGTGGTGGTGTACAGCTATAATGTCAGCACTTGGGATGCTGAGGCCAGGAGTATCACAAGTTCAATGCCAGCCTGGGCTACATGGCGAGACCTTGTCTCTGAATGAATGAATGAATAAAATAAATAAATAAATAAATAAATAAACAAACAAATAAATATTTACCCAAGGAATCACACAAGTACCTATGAGCAGAACTCTCAGCTGTAGAGTACCTACCTTTTCTACCTTTGAATATGTTATGTTTTTGATTTCCTTTTCTAACTGAAAAGGATGTCTGACTGCTGTAGAATTTCAGTAGAAATAGCACCATGAGAACATTCTATGCACATTAGCCCCAAATACACTGCTTCTGAAAATACCTGGGAGCCTTCTCACACTGTCATCCAGATGCCAAAAGGTAACCACAAAACTTCATAGGACCTCTTGAAATATTTGGGATGGGAGAGAGTTAATTAAATCTTATAGGAAGTCCTCTAGACCCAGGGGAGACTATGTTTGGGCTGGTTTTGCCAGAAATCTGACTTGACCCATGGGGCACTGGAATGCACAAGGGAAGCTGCCATATGCTCTGTCTCCCTGTCCTTCCATGTGAGTACATCTTCCAAGAGCCGAATACAGCTTTCTGGGCCCTGAAGTCTGTTATTTCAACTACCTTTTCTGTCATTCTCAAGGCACGTTATATACTTGGTACACTACTCTCCATGTACATACCATTGTTCTTGCTTTCCCAAATCCTGAAGAATGGGCATTTTTCAGATGAGAGAACTGAGGTGTAGATGGGGTAAAATGATCTACCCAAGGTAGATATAACTGGTTTTAAATTTGAGATCTTCTGACGTGTAGGTCTATTGTTCACTTTTCTACAATACAAGACCACTCAATGCTTAAGTCTGATTATTGTCATGGACATCAAGATAGAAAATCTGAAGTTCCAGGAAGTTCAAGTGGCCATAACAATGATGCCCAGGATAGGTCACAGTTAAGACTCTTGTATATACTCAAGCTACTAATCAGATATTGACAAGTGCAGCAGCATGGTAGAATCTTGGTTGGAGATAACAAAGAAACCATTCCAAAAATAGCCACCAAAACAAGGGCAGAATATGCTGTGGTCTTTGGAGAAAGGCAGTGTGGCTCACTTCCTTCCGTACAGACCATGCCCTTCCAACCACTTCTGTTTCTTGACACGACTAGTAACCAGGGAAGTTCTCTAATGCTTCTTCCCCTCCTTCCAGGCCTAGGCTACTACTTTGTTTTCCTAGCAAAATTCCTCTTCCATTCTTCTTAATCTTAAAGTTTCACCTTTCTATAAAGTATCATAAATAGGTATGGAAACACAGCCATTGGGTAGAAGATGTCTCTCCCAACTTCCCACCTATCTGTATCTTTTCCTGGTCTAACTCAACACCACCTGTCTCCTGACTCAATCCACCTGACTCTAGCTCTTTTTTTTAGAACAGGTAGATCTCTCAAAATTATTGCATACCCTGTGATTTCTCTGCTTTCCGGGAGTGAAAACTCCAGGTTGGATGACACTCCTGCATCTGAACACTTTCAGAGACGCTGATCACGTGGGCTAGTAGTATGGCCTGTACTACTGTCACGTAAGATTTGTTTGTGAGATTGTGAACCATGAAGGATGAATCCTGACAAGGCTGTAGACACCCAAACTCACAAACACAACTAAAATGCATAATTTCTCCTGATGAAATGCAAGAACATGTGATTCTAGGAGGACTGTTATATCTTTGACACCCCCCATTATCCTGAACAAGCCAGTTTGAGAATGAGAGGGTACACGGAGTGGCTTATCTGCTTCCAGCCTGTCAGACTGCAAGGGTCAAATCCAGGCTTTAGGAAAACCATGTCTGCTCCATGCCATGGTCCCTCTGGACTACTCTTGATCAGGCAGGGTGAACGTTACATCTGTAACTGCTATGGGTCTCCAGAGCCCCAGCCCCCATTCTGCCAAAGCCTCATTCCATCACTCTTCATGTGACTACTGCAGTCTGGAGGGGTCACAATTGTGCAGCTCTGATTATAGGTACACACAAGATTAAAATGACATCAAACATTTATTCAACTGTGAAGAAACAGAAGATTGGAATTTTTTCCAGTCCAGTCCCTGGACTCAAACAGGCTTTAGAGTGCCATCTCATGTGGAGGCTGCTAACCACATGTGGCCACTGAGCCCTGGAAATGCAGCTGGTCCAAAGTGAGACAAGCTGTTGGTATAAAAAATGCACAGCACATTCCTGAGAGTGAGTATAAAAAAAGATGTAGAAGTCTTGCGGAATTTTTATATTGAGTATATACTGTACTACTCATATCTTAGATGTATTAGGTTAAGTAAAATAAGTTATTAGGACTAATGTTGCCTTTTTTTTTTTTTTTTTGCTTTTTTAAATGTGGATCCAAGAAAATTTAAAATTACTAACGTAGCTCACATTTGTGGCTCATACTCTATTTCTAGTAGACAGCTCCTTCTTTAGACGAAACCCAGTAACTTCTTTTAAGGGTTGGTTTTTAGAAAAAAGGTGAACATGTTATAGGTTTTGTTTCAACTATACTTTTTAAAAATGAGGCCCTTTCTGAGGACTTCTGATCCATCGTGTTGCCATAGTGGGACTGGAAAATGACAAGTTGCCTCCAGCCACTGCCTTGGCCAGCTCTGACCTCTGGCCCCATGTCTTCTTTCCCAGGCCAGCGGCTAGGCAGCTACACCAATGGCCCCAGAGGCTGATGCAATAATTTACTTATTTGACTTTAGAGTCCTGTATTCAATGTTAACATCTTCAAATAATACAGAAAAAAAACTTACAGGTTTTGAGATGGTGAGTCCGCTGCTGGAATACACAGGTACTTAACTCCCTATAGAATGATTAAAAAAAAAATACATAAGTGAAAAAGATGATACTCAGTACAGGAACTATTTATTCAGTTCAAAAAATAAAAAAAATAAAAAGGAGAAGTTTTTAATTCATCTTTTGTTGTCAAGGAACTGAGGGAAAAACTGTTTAATTAAGGTTCCTGGTTCTTTTTCCATGGCCATCCACACAAATATTCATGCTTAGTTTGCAAACATCTTATAGTTTTAGAGAAACTCAAAGGGTGCAACAAAAACGTGAAAGAGCTAAGTACATTTCAGTAAGTGTCAACAAGTTCAAAACTATCCTCTCACATGCTATTCAAACATTCTACATTGTCTATGTAGCTCATTTAAGATACTGAATATCCAGAAAGGATGCACTAGGAGTCAAAACCTTCAAATGCTACTGAAAACTGTGACGTCAAGTTATGGCTTTCTATGTCGATTTTGGTATCACAGGAGTTACTATTCCACCACGAGGTGCTTTACACCCTGGAATAATTTATTTTGCTTCATTTTCAGAACAGCTAAAGTTTGTGCACCAAACTAACACATTTCTTTAAAAACAAGGTCTGAATTTGAAAACAAAAACAAAAACAAAAACTTTCCCTATAAAAAGTCTAAAAAATGTTTATGTAAATTTATGCTACAAAAACCATGCTACATTGAGGTTTTTAGAGTGGGGGTGGGGCTCAGGTGGTAGAGTGCTTTCCTAGTAAGAAGGAGACCCTTATTTCAATCTCAGAACCCCCAATAATTACATAAATTGAAGTTTTATTGAAAACCTGGTCTGTTTCTCTATTAAAAGTATTGATATTATAGTTCAAATGTCTTCAATGTCAAGAAAAATACAAACTCAAAAAATTTTGCAAGAGAATGTAGCTTTATTAAGAATTAGATGAACTCTTTTTAATCCCTTCCTCTCATAATTGCCAAATTTCACAGAATCTTTTCACTATATCTTGGACAATGAGGTGAGAAACTCAGAAACTAAAAATATAACCAATATACAAGGACAGATATGTAAAACAGTGATCCAGACTGTACCCAAGTCCTTCAGAGGAGCAACTTCCGGAATTATTTGAAATCATTTTATAATTTGCCACTAACTTTTCCTGTTAACTTGTATCATCAGGAACGTGTGTCCTAGGAGAAACATCTAAATGCACACTCAGATTGCCCCTCACAGTGAGTCCACATTTCTGGTAGAAGACAGGGAACACCATTTCCCAGCTGCCCTTGTTGCTTAGTGTGCAGTCAGGATTGGGTTTCATTGTTCTGGCATGTAAATACCTAGGAACTAGTGAGTGAAGCAGGAGAAGAGGCAGGTGAATAGCAGTGCATTCACTTGCAGGTGCAAATGGCAGTAGAGCCAGTTGCAGAGCTCACTACAAATCATGGGATCAATTATTATATTTTCAGCAAAGGCTTTCTGGAGTCTTGAGGGCAAGTTTTACTTTTGTTTATCCAAAGGGTGCACTTGCCTGAGATTAAATAGGCTTTCACCAAGGGTTGAGCTCAGGGACTGGCCTGCAGAAGTAGAAAGGGAAGTAGTAGATTCTCTCTCATTTGACTTTCCCTGTTATCCCCACCAGTCTTTCTGTGTTGGGCCTCATTTTTCCTGGACTCTGGGGACTGTGCTCTGTTGGGAATCTTGAGCAGCTGTGATTTAAGGGAAGACAAATGAAAAGGAAACACCACTGTAAAAATCAATCATTTCGCTCCTTCCCTCTATTGAGGACAAGCAAGCTTGTTGGTCTAGATACACATTGACCACTTCCTGTAGCCGCCATTGAAGTGACTCACTAGCTTTTTTCTTTTACTCTTAAGTGAGAGTTTGTAGTTGGATGGGGCTCAGAAGCTTGTGAAATGCCTTCTGCTCATACACTTTCTCGAATTTCCTTTCAGATCATTTCAGCATATTCTAGTCTATTTCCCCTGCTACTGTCATTTGCAGCTCAGCTCAGCAAGTTAGTCAGGCCAGGTTGCTGAAGTAGCTTCTCCAAGGTAGCACAGAAATGCCTGCCTCTCTCTAATATTGACAGATGGCCATTTCATTCTAGTGGATCTAAAGTCAGTCTACTTTGTATATTTGGAGGGAAGAAAAACATTGAAGAAAATGAAGAGAATGGACAAAGGGTAGGTTAAATAGCTCTTTGCCTGTTAAGAGCATTTGCTATAAATATCAACAGCAGGTGAACAGGCAGCACTGTGCTTCCTTTAGGTGGCCTCCATGCTGTCTGATGCGCAGAAGGAAGAGAGAAGAGCCCATCAGGTGGGCAGGAGAATCTGCTATCCACAGAGGAAGATGAAGGGTTTCTGCTCCTGAGAGCTACTGAGGACAAAGAGGCAAATTTACGCATGTGGGATCATCATCTTCACAGGTAGGGTAGGCAAGTGGCAGCTACTGCTTCCCATCTGTGCAACTTCTAGAGGAACACAGTGGCTCCCAACTACAACTTTTGGGATACCCCACTGTTAAGGCGGGACAGAGAAAAATACAAAACATAAGACATCATCATGTTGTCTCAAAGACAGAGCAACAACAATAAACTTCCCTGAAATGATGCCTGTCTCCAAGTAGGCATTCACTAAAAGTCTGCTGAGCACAAAAGGACAAGATGAAAATCTCTCCCACAAAGATAACACCATGACAATAGTGAAAAAGAAGAAAATGCTGTCAGGTACCCATCTCTTATTCTGGAAACCATGGAAGCAAAAGAGCTGGGTTTTAGGCCACACCATGCAAAGGGAAAATTATCTACACACGCTCCAGTGACATCAGCCTCCTACACTTAACAGGTGGCAAACCACTCCACTGTGATCTACAGTAAGAAGCATGCAGATTCAGCCACGGAAGGAGGCAAAACTGTCAAAATGGTTCAGCTGCTTGCCGCCCAAGAACATCTAATTATCTTGGCTTAGTCATTAACAAAGCACAGATCTCTCAGGGAACAGACAATAGAACTCAAGCTACTTAAAAAAGGCTTCAGATGCCTGCACATGTGCACAGTTCATAACAGTTAGTTACTAATTTAGAAAGCAGCAAGCAGACCTGGGGCCATCAGAAAGCTGGGCTCACTTAAAATTATCCTAGAAGCAATGAGTATAGTTGAGCAACATTTTCATGCCATAGGGAAGAAATGGTTCCTCTAATAAGACCACTGTCTAGTAGTGATGAGCTATGTAGAGACAGAGACAGAGATAAGGTGTAGGATATGTTTAGTTACAATTATGGAAAGAATAGCAACTTAGAAGTTAAAAAGAACTTAGAAAATTCTAGAACAATGTGAAAAATTTGCAATAAAAATAACAACATTGCCAGAAGCATTTCTTGCATAGTATTCACTTCTTTATATTACCTCTAAGATTTTACAAAAACAAAAATAATATTGGTTATTATCTCTCTGAAATGAAATTCTCACTAAATAAGCAAAAATTCAGCACTTTTCAATGCTATTTCAATGGGTAAAGCCAATTAATATTAAACTTTTATGGATTTCTTAAATGTCAAGTTACAGCTTTTCAATCTGCAGAGCTTGTCTCATGTTACACTGAAATACACACACACACACACACACACACACACACAAACCAAGCTGTTATTGGAAAGGTCTCCATTTATGCTTTTAGACTATTATAATTCCTATGGAGGATGAAGAAAGAACAGCTAATTTCTTTGGATTACAAGGCATTTTGAGTGTCCTAACATGTCCAGAGAATTGCACACTGATGAGGTAGGCCCCAGAGGGAGAAAAAGAGGGAAGAATTCAGAAAATGTCTCTATCTACATTGAGGTGACTTCATATACACTGAATATTCTTGATACAACACTCACCAATTATAATAAAACCATGTAGTGTAAAAATAAGGAAAATATGAGAAGAACTAAAAGAATTAAGAGGGATCTGATAAGGAAAAGCTTTGAGGTGATGTTCTTGTGTTTAGGTTTTGAAAGACATAATAGACATCACTGGCCTGAGAGGAAAGTTCTGAAAGAATTCCAGAGGCTTTATTTGAACAAAGATCAAAGCTGTCTAAAGTCCATATTCTCAAAAGTATTACTATTTTTCAGTTTTCTCTTTCAACAAGTACAGTAACCACCAAAAGCCAGTTTTTTGTTTTGTTTTGCCTTTCTTTAGGCCTGAAACTAAAGATCACACTTAAAACGATACACAGGTACAACCCTGAAAAGCAAGGCTGAGAGTCTGATCTAAGTCTAGGAAAGAGATTAAACTCTCGCTTGTTTCAAGTACAATTTTTAAAACTCACTGTTCTTTTCTTTCTGAAACATCCTAAGTAAGTCTTCTGGAGAACCCAGTTGACATTCTACTTTTCAAAAGAAAGATTCAGCCCTGCAGAAGCTATTCTCTTTCTCTGAGGAAAGCTAACAAAAAGAAGTTATGGATTAGAACTGTGTCCCACCATTTGCAGCAACATGGATGGATCAAAGAAGTCATTGTATTGGGTGAAATAAGTCAGGGATAGAAAGACAAGTACTGCAATCTTATTTACATGTAGGAACTTAGAAAGGATGATTAATGGTACCAGGGATGCAGTTGGACAGGAGGAATAACTTCTAATGTTCTAGAGCAGGGTAATTATAATTGGCAACAATTAATTGTACATTTCAAAATAATTTGTGTCACTGCAAAGACATAATAAATGTCTGAGGTGGTAGATATGCTAATTGCTCTGATCTGATCATCACACATTGTATACATGCAGTGAAAGATCATACTCTATCTCATAAATACATATAACTATTATATGTCTATTAAAGAAAAGATTATAACTGTATCCTTGCAGGAGCACAAGAAGGAAGGGAGTAAGTTCTAGAAGAGGCTAGAAATCCATACAATGAAAAAGTTATTTTTGCTGTCAATAAAAATGTCATGATTAGAACCTTTAGATTCATATCTTAGCCCATCCAGTACTAGAGACAGCATGAGTGAACCCAAGGGAATTCATCCTACAGACATGGCATCTTCCCCCAAACTGA